GGAACAGAAAGCCAAACCAACGGCCCAGACCCTAAAGCAGCCCACCAAGAAGCGAGAGAGTGTTGACAAGAAGCAAAGCAAGAACCGCGAACCCCGTCGGACATCCCTCACCGCCATAGGCACGCGCACCCAGGACAAAGGCCAAGGGGAAGGAGGGAGAAAGGAAGGAAGGGAAGGAGGGAGGCAGCGTTTCCGCACCACCCTTGAGGTAGCTGCCACGGCGCCTTCCGACTTTTTTTAAGGAGGTGTCCTTCCCCAGTAGGGATACCCTTCCTCCAACGAGCATGCAGCTAACAGCGAACAGAACACACAGAGAAGCAAACAAGCAAAGGATAGCCGAAACGCCGATCACTATAGCAGCCCCTACCACAGCGAGCCAAAACTACCACAGACCAGACAAACAGCATGCCAGACCCGCACTGCCGAACCCCAGGCCAGACCCTGAACCAGACTCGGGACGCGAACCTGAAAAGACGCCCAGCCCAATGCCTAGACCCGACACGCAACCCCGAACCCAGCCACGAAGCAAGAGCTTACCCCAACCCCAAGCTCACACCCAGACACAACCACAAACCCAGTCCTAGACTTGACACGAAACCCAACTCCGAGAACAGCGCAAGCACTCCAAGCGCCCGACCCGAAGGCACAGTCAACGTAAGCGGACCTGAGTGCAGCAAGGACGCAAGTGGCAGCAAAGGGGTGAGGGAAGACGTAGGGAAAACAGACGCCAACACTGACGGGCTGGGCACTCGACAGGCACTCCTACAGAGGCAAAGGGTCGAGGGAAGGAACCCCGAAGCCTAAAGAACAAGCCAAACACCCCCACGAGAGAGCCCCAAAGAAACCTGCGCACCGGACTTTTTTCAAAGAATGCCGCAAAGACGCTGCAAAGAAGAAATGAAAGCAAAATAACATGCATGCCGGCCCCAGCCCCCGAGCCACCGATGCTGGTGTTAGGCGCTCGGCAATCAAAAGAAAGAAGCGAATTCAACCCAAAGCATAAGTTCAAAAACACAAACAATGTACCCAATGCCTAGAACTACATATAGCTGAAATGAACCGAAACTCTGATTTGCGCACTACCTAATTAACCTAAACAAGCGCCTAAACAGATCACTGCTTGAATTTCATAAAGAACTTAGCCTTGGCTTTGGCGGCAGCCTTCGCCTTTGCGAGGGCTTGACCGGCCGGACTCGCCGCTGGCGGGTTCCGGCGAGATCGTGCGATAGCACGGTTCACGCAATTGCGCCGCCCTGGAAAGCGGCATTTGTTGCTGCGGATCGGTTGTCCTGCAGGGCGAAGGCAAGAATGCAGCCACCGACACCAAACCCAAACCACAGACGCCCCACCGAAACACGACCCGGCAACCCCCCAACGCCCAAACCAAAAACCCAGCCATCAAGACCAAACCCAAACCAGAGAAACCCAACCCCGAAGCAAGACAAGGGGCCCCTTGCGCGCTGCAGTGCGCAAAGGTCACAACAATCGCAGGGCTGATATGTGGTGTCATACTCAGCCCGTGGTTTTTTGGGACGAGGCTCCTGACAAGCAACCAAGTCAGTCTCTCTCTTCCCCCCCCCCCCCAAAGTTGCACCGGACTAGCCGCCCACCTCGTAGAAGAGCTCCTCCCAAAAGAGCTCCTCGTCGAGCTCATCATCCGTGATTGTATAAAGCACCTCGGATGCAAAGACGCGAAGGCACTGACGAAACCAAAAGCACGCACGCAGCACAACACCAAGGAGCAGGATCATCCGCCGAGCCGGACGCCAGCTCCTCACGCAAAAGCAGCAGCAAAGCCCAAACCCCAGGACCAAGGAACACCACCCCCACCCCCCCCAAAAAAAAAACAAACAGAAACAAAGCTAAGCCCAGCACCACAGGAGGGAGCGGCTCGGGCGCAAAGATGTCAAGTTGCACCTGATCCAAAGACGCAGCCCAGCCACAGAGCAAAAACATCCCAAACACTCAATCCAAGAAACCGCCAGAAGGTGGTCCACACTGACGGTGTTGTCGGGAATGGTTGCGGGAGGGTACAAATGTGGAAGGGTAAGTGAAGGGGAAGCGTGGGAGTGGTAGTTGATTGGGTAAGGTGGGTAGGCAGGGTGGCCTGGCTGGAAGGGTAATGGGGGTGGAGTTAGTGGGGCCGTGATGGCGACATCTTCGCAGACGTAGTCCGGCGGAGGAATGACGGCGCCGCTGACCTCGACATCCAAAAAAAAGCGAGACGACGAGGAGACGGACAGAGGCAGAAGACAAAGCGAGTCCCCACAACCGAAACAAGAAGAGTCGTCACAACAACAACACCAACCCGGAAGCGCAGAGCAAGGTACGATGAAGGGAGGAGTGGTGGGTGCCACTTCCCCTTCAGGAACGTCCTGCCATTCTCCGCCGTCCTCCTTATATCCACCAACAAGCAACACACAAACAAACACAAACACGGGAAACAGGAAGCACGCACGGACAAAACCAACAGACAAGCCAAGTCACAAACAGGTTTGTCTCCCAGTCTTCGAAGACCTCAGGAAAGCAGAAGTCCAGAGCAAACAAAAACGCAACCAAGAACGCCAGGCAAACATCGCAAGCAGCAACCGAAAAAAAGTACCGAGACGCTCCAGCCCCTTCCGGCGGGGTGCCGCACGCCGAGGCCTAAGCTGCAGACCGTGGAAACCCAAGCCTTCACCCGCCAACCCCAAACCCAACAACATGCAAGTAAAAAAAAACATCCTAGCAGAAACAAGACAGAGCAAAGCCAAGCGGCGCCAAGAGGGAGCTCGTCGTCTGTCTCATCCTTATTAGATCCAGCGGCAAGCAACACATGCACACATGAGCAAGGAAAAGCACGCACGCACGAAGCCGGTGCACAAGCCAAGTCACATACAAGGCGAGTTCCCAGGCTTCGAAGACCTCAGAAAAGAAGAAGTCCAGAGCAAACAAAAGACGCAACCAAGAGGCCAGACAAACAGCACGAGCAACAACTGAAAGACGATGCCGGGTCGCTGGTGGAGGATTTGCCGGCGCCTAAGCTGCAGACCGCGGAAACCCGAGCTTTCACCCGCCAACACCAAACCCAACACAACGCAAGTAAAACAGCCTAACAAAAGCAAAGCAAGGCAGAGCCGAGCGGCCGGGAGCAACGGCTCTTCCTCGTCCTCTTCGACCGACGGCACGGGAGCCTAAGCTGCAGACCTAGGAAACCCAAGCCTCCACCCCTCAAGCCTAAACCCGACGAGCCGCAAGTTGGACAGCGTAGCAAAAGCAAGCGGAGAAGTCAACGCCAAGTTGCTGGGAAGGGAGCAATCTCCTCAATCAAGGACAAGCAGTGAAAACAAAACACAATGAAAACACAAAACCAAAAGCCCAAACCCCAAGTAACGGCCAAGTCGCCATTTCGTCTACCTGAGCGGCCACCATGCAAGAACACGAAAGATGAACAACGACCCCCTAAGCAACATCAAGGCACTTCCGTGTAGACGGCAGGTGTCGCACCGATCTCCTGCACCTAAGCTGGACAGCTCTAAAACCGCAAGCCTTAACCCGCAGCCCCGAGACCAAAAGAACAAAGGCGAAGCACCCAAGCCCGAAAAAAAAAGAACCGAAGCCAAGCAACCAAGGACGTGTCCTCAGTCCGAAACAAACAACTGACAGAAAAGAAAAGAGACAAAAAAACAAAACCACTCCACACCAAGGCTCAGAGCTGCTCGAGCTCGCGGCACCTGAGACCTGCAGAAACCCCGCAAGAAACCACAGAACCCAAGAAAGTCGAGGGACACAGAGAAACCCACGCACCACGAAAGCCCAAACCACCGAACCAAGCGGCAACGACCAAGCACATCATCATGGTTGAAGAGAAGGACATATTCCTGCAGAAAAAGAAGGGAAAATCACTCGCGCGAAATGCAGGTGGGAAACAAGCTGCCAAACAGCCTCCAGAACCAATCGACAGCTAAGAGAGAAGGCAATTTGCTGTGAGCCGAAAGCGCTCCGAGGAGTCGGCCATAGATCAAGTTGAAAAGAACAGACCGCGCGCCACCCATACCAAGGCCCCAGCCAGCGCATTTCTCCGCGTCCTTGCCGCACACTGCCCACGTCCAGCCTGGGCCAAGGAAAGCTAAGGAAAGGGAAGCAGGGAGAGGGAGCGGGAGGGGGAGGGGGAGGGCAGCAGGGAGGGAGGGACGGAGGAAGGGAAGGAGGGAGGAAGGGAGGCTACCATTACTACTACTGCTACTACTACTACTACTACCTCTATTTCTACGAGCAGTACTCCTACTACTACTGCTACAACCAACACGACTCAGATCACGACTCAAAATCCCGTAGAAACCCCCGCAACCACACAGACGGCCCTAGGCTCGTGCACTCCGGGCCTCGCAACCTAAGAAAACCCCGCCTGCCAACTTCCAAAGCAACCCTCAACCACACCGAAGCCTCGCACTCAGACCTCGCAACCTCGGAACACCCAAACCACCTGGGGACTCCCTGAAACCTCGCGCGGGAGCTCCCGGCACGGAGCGACGCCAAGAAAGCCCGACCTGAGCGCACCAGCAGGCAGGAGACGAGAGATAGGGAAAGGACGGGAACTCGGACGACACAGACCTGCCAACCTCACAGACCAAAGCCTTCACGACACCACAGACAACCCTGAACGCCTGCACTCTCGACCTTGCTGCCTCGGAGCCCCACGCCTCCCAACCTCCGAAGCCGCCCTGAACAAGACCCAAACCTCGCGCACTCCGACCTTGTAGTCTCGGAAAACCCAGACCACCTCGAAATCCCTGAAGCCTAGCAAGAAAAGCCCGGCGCCATCGCGAGAAGGTCCGGACCTGGCCAAAGA